CCCCCCCCCACACCCAGGACACAGAATGCCGACCTCCAACGCCAGCTCACCCTGGCCCATGATCACATCCGTTCACTCCAAGGAGGTCAACCCCTACCTCCCCACCTCGCGGCACAGCCTGCTGCCCCTTTCATCTATCGACACCATCAGACACAGGCCGCTACGATGCATTTCACACGCGCACCACCAGCCACCACAATGTGTCAGGGACCGTTGCCCCGGCTCCCCGCTCTTTCTAGTGGTTCTGCTGGTGCCACTACTTCTGTCCTCTTGTCACAGTGTGCCCTCCCCCTCCCCCCTCATTACCAGCCCCCGCCTTATGTACCTCGGTACCACCCCGACAGAGTCCCCCAGTTCGATGGTAAGGCCTCTAAACTCCAGGGTTGGATCACCACAGCCGAGGAGCAACTTCGGTACCATGGGGTAAACATGGACTTGTGGCCTACGGAGATGTCTGCCCGCTTCATCGGTCGAGCGACTTCCATTTGGCGCGACTTTCTCGCCCTTCGTACTCAGCAGGGCGTTCACGCGAGTATGACGTGCGTGGAGTTTCGTGATTTTCTCCAGCAGTACTTCTCTCGCCCGACGCCTACCCGTGACCCGATCACACGGATCGCTGAGATCAGATGGCTTGGTGGCAACAATGCCTTAGAGTCGTACATCACGGCATTCCACCGCGTTCGCGCCCAGATCCCCCCCTCCCTCATAGCCGACAACGCTTTGGTCCAGCGTTTCCGTGCCGGGTTACCCCAACCCTTCCAGCTTCAGATGCTGAGCCACGGGCGAAGGTCGAGCCGGAGCGCAAGCAGCAGCAGATCGGCGACGGTGGTTTGTAGGAAAGCAGCAGGAGCTGGAGTACCGCCGGCGCCGAGAAAAGGCGCCAGCTTGGATGACGAACGTACCTGGTCGCGACAGCGGGCCAGGTGCAACTGCAAGAACGAAATTGGAGATGGTTATCCGCGGTGGTAGGATGGCGAGAGGGGGAGGGAGGGAGGGAGCAGAGGTTCGAAAACCTGCTCCGATACCGATGTGACGCACGTCCGGAGGGCACGTGCGGAGATGGTGAGAGAGAGAGAGCGAGAGAGAAGAGATGGACACACAAAGGAAGCAGCAGCTGAGTGAAGGAGGTCCAGTCCGGCCGAATGAACGAACGAACAACTGAATGAATGAATCTCCCGCCCTGGGCCTAGGCCGAAGTGATATACCGGCCTAGGTCCAGGTACGGAACAAACTGGTACCGGACCATGGTCAGGCCGGTGCCTGAAACTGGTCCGGCCTCACTGCCGGGCCGTAGGGGTACCGCTCCAGTACCCCTCCTGTTGGCCGCTGTGGGGAGCAGCCCTTACGTTATTTTCCTCCTCTGCTCGTTATCCCCAACCCATTTTTCGTACGTACTCTTGCCGCCTCCCTTCTTGACAGCCATCTTTCGTACGATTTTTTTATTTTTTATTTTTTTGGGAACAGCTCAATGCCATTTCAAATGGAGGGAAACTGAAAAAGGCAAGAAAAAAAAAAAAGAAAAAAGAAACGGAGGGAAACTGGAGGCCATTTGGTTTTTGTCAGGTGTCAGAAAACATTTTATTCCCGCCACGGATTCAGAGCTGATCTTGGTCCGTCGCTGAAATGGGATGCGATGAATTTCCCCTCGGGGCCATTTTGTCGACAGGGAGTTCTCCCCTTAGAGAACCCGTCCCGGATCGAATTGTGCGCTCGTTTTTTTTTTGTTTTTTTTTTTGAATTTTGTTTTTACCCCTTGCTCCCAGCTGTTAGTGGGTTGCTGGAGCTGCTGGGTTCCAACGCCCGATAGACACCACAAAACTTGAAGATTGCTATCAACTGGAGAAGAGGAAGTCCAACTACCGTCTTCCCCCGAACACAACGCACCCTCGTTTTGACTGTGTCTGGACGTAAAGATAGTCTGTATACATTCATTATCAGGGTAAGTTATGTTCGGGGGAAGACGGTAGCAAAGGGAAACCAGACTTAAAAAAAAAAAAAAAAAAAAAAAAAAAAAACTCTGGGGGCAGGTCATTAGCAGCGTTGAGTTTCCTCAAAGTCTGAATCTGGACGCGTTCGTGGAGATGTGCGGTTGAGAAAACTCAACGCGACTTCTGCACATATCCCCAGACACGTCCAGATTCAGGCGTTGAGAAAACTCAAGCCTGCTAATGGGACCTGGCCCCTGGAGAGGGGAACGGACTGAATGGGAGTAGGGGGCCCAGTTACGCCCGTGTCTGAAGGAGGCGTGATCCCGACGCAGGGACTGAGCCACAGTGCAGGGGCGGACCTGTGCCGCCTGTGCAGCGATTGAAGCCTAGTGCATGGGCAGACTTCGGCAGTTAATTGTCAACTGACGTAGAGCAACCGGTACCTTATCAGCAAAGTAGATCCGCCTGCCGGAGTCAAATAAACATAGGGAAAAAAAAAAACGAAGAAAAAAAAACAAAAAAAACAAATAAACATAGGGGTCACCCTAGAAGATAGACAAGTGAGAGGATGAGATGGATGCATACTACCAAGAAGATGAGATAGAGGAGAGAAGAATATAGCTTACTTTGAAAAGAAAAAAATTCGGAAAAAGAAAAACCGAACGTGCGCAGGGAGGCAGTATCCATCCAGGGGTGTGGGAGAGACGGGAGGAGAGAGAGAGGGTGGGGCCCAAGGGCCAAACGCAGGCACCACAAGACGTTGACGGAACGGGACACGACTGCGTGTGTGGAAAGGACGCTCTTTTTTGGGGGGAGGGGGGGGAACAATCGTGGGGCGTGGTTGGTTCCACCTGCACAAATCTAGCGAGCGATTCTTATTGACGGACATCCAATGGACGTAGGGAAAGGACCTGGCCGTAATAACGATACCAAGGGGGACGGAAGATTATGGCAGAAGGCCGTAACGAGTAGCCCGAGGAAGCAGACGCGGGTCCAGCCAATAGGAGAAGTGGGTAGGGCCTACGATCGAGAATGGGACACTCGCCTGGAAACGACGAGAGAGCTTCCAGGGGAGGGAGCGCCTGAGGACCGTCAGGCAGAGGGACCAGAGGTGGGGCCAGCAGGTTGGAGAAGTAAGCGGGAAGCTGTCAGGAAAGGGAGCGTCTCCAGGGGGACGCAGGATCTCACCAGCCAGAGGGACCAGAAAGGCGCCTCCACGCGAGGAAGGTCCTTGGGACCACCAGCTCGAGGAACCAGAGGTGGGGACCACCAGCTCGAGGGACCAGAGGTGGGGCCAGGATTATTTTTTTTTTTGTTGAAACTGCGTGCATATAGCCAGGATTTGACGGAGATCCAGATCTGAGGGATCTTGTCAAGAGACTCTCCTCAAAGGCGGGGCGGGTGGATGGTACATGACCGATGACCTTTCGACTTACATTTGAGCGTCATTTGAACACGACAGAGCGATCGTTTCACCTCCAATCGGTATTCTTTGCGGCCGAATCGAGGTCACATCCTGGGGTAGTTCATTATCCCTTTCTCCCCCGCCCCTCCTTTTTCTTTGCCTTGGCGACTGAAACACAGCAGTTCAAAGGGCCTCACTCCATCCACCAAATGTGCAAGACGAGAATGAATCTTCGGCCAGAACATGGGAAGATACACCGCCATAATTTCTTTTATGTTTTGAAACAAGGCCCATAGTGGATTCGCGCGTCGTTTCACATACTGCTAAAACCTACCTGGAGCAGAGTCCGTTAGAGGACTTGACGCGACTCTAACAACCGCCAAGAGGCGCGCTAAGGATAACAGCACGAAAGACGGGAACTGCCCCGATGGATTGTGGTACCGTCTCCTTTTTTTTTCCTTTTTTTTTTCGAGTCGTATCGGTCGTATCGTCTTTTGGCTAACCCGATCGGAGATTGAACTGATCGACCACAACCTTCTCCGGAAAAAAAAAAAAAAGGAAAAAGAAAGAGCGCCCCCCTTTCTA